CATTATTATCAACCAGCTCATGCGGTACCTTGAGGATTACCAGCTGATTAGTGACTGCCAGTACGTTTTCCAACGGCGTCGTTCAGCTGTTGATCTTCTGGGTTACTTAACTCTTAAATGGGTAGAGGTAGTAGTTTTAGGCCGTTAGTTTAGACATAGCGAAGGCCTTCGATCTGTTCTGGCACAAAGCGCTTCTTCGGAAGCTCCCTTCTTATGGGCTTCCCTAAAAATAGTGCAATTGAATCACCAGTTCCCTTGCTGATCGGAGCATCATTACAAGCTTATTAACGCTGATGTTCCACAAAGCTGCGTGCTATCGCCAACGCTGTTTCTTCTGTATATTAAAGATATGTTGCAAACCGGTAACAATAATTGCTATGCGGACTACAGCACTGGTGATGTTTTATACACCGTCCGTGCCAAAAATTTTCTCGTGAAAACAACGCCGAGTGCCGGGAAAAACTTGTGTCTGAAATCGAGACTTTATTAAAAAAGTCTCAGGCTGGGGCCGACTAAATCTAGTCCAGTTCTATCCCCAGAAGGAAATTTGCGCGTTTATCGCTAAAAGGAACCCCTTCGTCATATCTCCCCAGTTTCAAGGCACTCCCTCTGCCTCAGACAGTATCGAAATCCTTGGCGTCGACATATTGAGTGACTTGCAGTTTCATGGTCACTTGAAAGAGAAGGTCAATTGGCCCCTACTTAGCTTGGCGTGCTAATCAGAGTGGGGCAGTATTTCATGCCGGCTCACCGCTTGCAACTTTACACGGGGCAGATTCGGCCGCACATGGGATAATGTTCCCGTCTCTGGCTTGGGATTCCCCAGTGCCAACTTCTTCCATTTGATCGTATCCAGCGCAGAGCCGTTCGAATCGTCGGCGACCGATCTCTTTCCGATCAGCTTGACTGATTGGCACTGCGAAGAGATATTGAATCCCTTCGCGTATTTTATCTTATTTACTACGGGAAGCGCTCTAAGAGATTGTTTGGACTAATTCCAGCCGCAAAATTTCACCATCGCACATCGCGACCTAACTAATGACACACCATCCATACCATTTGGATGACTTGTGGTCCACCACTGTGCGATTTGAAAGAAGTTTTCTTCCTCGCCAATTTCCTTGTCCTTTTGGAATCGACTATCACCAAAGATTTTTCCGGACCGATATGACATAGGAATCTTCAAGAAAAGAGCCTACTCATTTTTAAAAGGACGGCAACGCATCTGCAATTCCCCTGGTGTTGCAGTTGTTCATGGGCGGCGATAATCACTTACCATCAGATGAGCCCTACGCTCATTTGGAAAAAAAATCTACATCAACCTCAAAGCTAAGAAACAAAACAAAGTTAAACAAAACGAATGCCATTCAATTTCAAAATTATTTGAAACATTCCAATAGCTAATATTATCTCTATGTTCAAAAATTAAACTTTGTAACTTTTCGTTTTCGCAACAGCTACAGATACATTTTATTTTCCGCTTCAGACTTATTTATGTATTTTAAAAATCAACTTTTATCTGTTTTTTTTTTTTTGTAATATCCAATCATCATAATTATAAAAATTCCTAATCTCTAATTGAAATTTAATGCCAAATATGGATCTATGCTTAATTTCTTAAATTCTGTCACTTATTGATCATTAAATTAACTAATATTATATTAAGAGGAAAGAGTATGTGAGCTAAAATTGCGATTTAGTCCCCACTGCCCGCAGCCTCGCGAGATTTCGTCGACGGCGCGCGGGCGCAGGGAACCAAAAGAAAATAAATGAATAAGAAAGTATTCACTTAGATACCGCAAGCATATTTTTTTCGCCAACCCTTTTTTTCCTTCGTAAATTTAATTTATTTCTTCTCATTATTATAAATCACTAAAGTACACTCGAACGTAAGCGAGCGCCAGCAAGCGACGCAGGTCTCCCTCCGACGGCTGAAGCTCAGTCTACTCTATGGAACTAGCCAGCTAGCCACAGCACAGAGTACTTTTTTATATATAGGGACTAGCTTAGTGTGTGATCGGGGCAGTGTTCCCGTATGAAGAAAAAAAGAAGCACTAAACCCTTATCAAAATTGCGCTATATTTTACAAAAATCTGCTTTATGAAATCCACCAAATTCCTTGTAAGTTGTATATGTATAATGTCCTGTAAATGTATAAGGAAATAATGAAAATGCGATTATTTAAAGACCTCTTCATTTATTAAAGTAATATTAGGTACTAAAGTCAATAAAATTAACCAATTCCACTATTGTCTTCGTGGTCATCATCACATGCAGATGTCGATGACGAGCCTACACCTACTTCTTTTTTTTCGATTCAAATTTATCGAAAACATTTTCAAGTAACATTTTATGTGAGGCAGCCTTGTCTAAGATTTTATCACTGTCGACGTATCATTATATTTGAGTTCACTGTTTGAACTGACATCCGCTTACGTGGCTTACTTTTGACAATGTTCATAACGTCGAAAATAAGCTATGCTTCAGCATTTTAATGAGGAAGCAACAGCACGGTTATAGCTAAGTCCACTAATTCCCGCATTTTTGTATTAGGAGACTTAAGCGCAAAATTTCACTATATCATCACCACCACCTTCTCATTTGACCAATTGAAATATTCCATTTGCTCCCACTCAGATCTATATTTCTGGCTATCAGCCTTCTTCCTTGGTGTCACTTCCATTTAAAATTATAAGGACACAAACAAAACTGAGCTAAAAGACTAACACGAAACTCGAAAATGGGAAGAACCAGTTCTTGTCAGGTATTAAACTTAAAGGATTAATAGGTATAACGAAAAGCAAAACAGTTACATAATACCATAATGCAAAAGGGAGATAAAAAAATTAACACATACATCAGCAATATTTCGGTCGGAGAATACCCGAACCACAGAACATATTACTACGTACTCGAACGATAGACTCGCTGGTGATTTTTGTATACTGGTCTGCCACCTAATATCAAATTTTCGCCAGATTCCACTAGATATTTTTAGTGCTTAAATATTTAATAAAAAAACAGAGGTAACTATGGAATATTTTTCTATAGAAAAAAACTTTAAGGAAATATTTTTCATCGTGTAAATCCATTACTATCTTGAATATGAATCACGAAATGAGTGATTAAAGACTGTAGTTATAATAGAGTTTACTAAAGTTACTAAAACAGTTATTTAACCGCTGTTACCTCTCAACTGAGGAAATTATGACCCGTACCATACTAGACGGGACTAGTTTCTATGGCCAATGTTCATTTTTATGTACTTTTATTATGCTATTAGCTGAAATATTCTATACCTTATATTAAGAATTCATCTTATTCCCTCGAAGTATATAGTTTTTTTAAGGTTTCACTTCTAACGCGTGTGAACAACACATATGTTTTTTTAGTTGATAGAAGTGGCTAACAATACTCCCGAAATTTATCGTTACATTTTGGCAATGTACAGTCGAAATATTAACCTGTTTTACTTCTTCTTCTTTTATTCGGCCGTCGGTGTTCAGCAGGATGACCAATTCAGATTCATCTCTTTTCAGTTTGGAAATTCAACCCATTATTTATAATTCAAAATCCAAGCTGACGGTCTGGCAACTGGATGACGTGGGTAACTGGGAAGTACAGCAAGTGGAGTTTTCAGTTATCTCCCTCATAATTGTTAAAAATTTAAAAATGTTTGTCTTGAGCTAAATAACATTAATGTGAAATATTTTTTCCAATAATTTATCTACTTCTAACAGAGACACTTTAATTCAATACTCCAATAATATTTCTCCAGGAATAAAAACCGTCTGTGTGAATCGCTATACCTGCTAGGTGTCCCGCTGTGTTTCGATAATACTAAACCTGTTTTAAAAACAAAGTTTGATCAGTTTTTATAGCACTCTAACAAATTGTATATCTTAAGCTCCCACCCTCCTCTGATAAATTTAAAATATTGTCTTCCTGTACCTAGATTCTCATATTTACTCCGATCGAGTTATATCTGGAAATATTGTATATGTTAAGAGATATTGATAATAATTTTTAAATAGCTCTAGAAACTATTTTATATTTAAGTTTAAATACAACAGCCTGGGCTCAAGCTACTTTACCGATAAAATTTGATTGTATTGGTGTAACCTTTGAGGCATCCAGATAAATTAGTCATTGATAAAATACCAAAAACGGTTAAATATTATAAGAATTGCTATGCAATGTGTATAAAAGTATTTAACGCTATACCCGATAACATAAAACTACAACCAAGGAAGAGTTTCGGGAACGAGTTGAAAAAGTGGCTATTTAATAAATCTTTTTATTCGGTTAGTGAGTTGTTGGAAAAACAATATCTTTAAATTTTGGGCTATTCTTAATAATAATATATAATGTGACATGAAAATATAAATATTAATAATGTGATAGTGCAATTAATAGTAAATGTTTTTGTTTTATTATGTCGCTTTCTAGTTTATTTTTATGTTTTTTTTGTTTGTTAATTATTATCAATGGTTTTTTTGTAATTTTAATCTATATTGTAGTTAATAATACTTAATGTTTTTAAATTTATATCATTTTGTACACCAGAAATGGTTAATGTGTTGTACTATATTTTTTCTTTATAACAACTGTAAAACAAACACATTATGCAAAATAATCAAATAAATAAATAAATAAATAAATAAGAAATATTTCTAGCGTTGCATTGCTTGTTTTCCTTGCATGACGTATATACGACAATGACGTATGTAACATAATTTTAAATAATAAAGTATACCTGTTCTTTGCTGTGGAGGCAAGACAACATGTCCCACCATAAGATGATCAATATAAACAGTGGTATTTTCCGTTGGTACGGAATATTTGTTTTATAATTTCCACGAAAGTTGTATGGTAATTTAAGGTTTAATATAGAATTATAATTGTATTTTCATCAAGCAATTATTAAAAAATCATTTATACCTCTAATCAAGAATCAATTTCAATATTTGAATAATTAAAACATATTGTTATTGTTACAGCAAAAGAAAGGGAATCACAGACATTTTGGAATGGCGACGAAATCCTTCACGTCGATAAGGTAATTGTTTTTTTTTCTATGGTAAGGATATTTTATGATATGTTTAACATTTTTAATTTCTTTTTATTTAAAACTTGCTTCTGTAGTATAAGCAGTTTAACCGAAAGATTGACCATCAGACCCTTTTTATCGTAAAATTTGCGTTTCTTATCAAATACTGTAGGAATAGTTATAAGCTAAACTTTGGCGTATGGTTTCACTTATGGAAAATCGAAGTGACTCCTGATAAAAGTGTAGCTATATAGGTACTTTCAAAATTAAATCTGAAAAAATCGTTAGGCACGATCACCATATACGTTGGCCCCATCCCCTGCGTGAATTTTGTTACCAGCCACCTCCAATCTGCTAGTTAACAGTAACAGCAAAGTCTCCTTATAATATAAGCTCCATCTTTATAAAAAGTCCGAAAAAACCATAGCCATATACAAGCGCAGCCTTCGCGCACGCATCCAAAAATATAATTTACACGACCTCCACGTCGTTCAAAATATTTTCATTCCCTGGGCCACAGGAGTCAGGTGGTGACTGACTGACTGATAACACAGTGCAACTTGGTCTTGCATTCGCATCGCGAACTTCAAACAATCTCTGAATATTCAAGGAAATTTCTCAACGCTATTTTAAGAGCGCTGTGACACCCTAACCCATTAGTGGTAGAGCTGCCACTTACGTTCTGTCTCCAAAAGAACGGTCGCGATAGTTCTTCGGAGGCCCGCAAGGAACTAATAGCACCTCTGGTTCCGCTTGACTCAGATGGTCCAAAAGTTGCTGGCCCGTCAAGCGCTAATACTACACTGTAACCTAGGGTTACAAAAACAGATAGATCAACGAAGGAGACACTCCGCTCAAGAAGACGGACGCGCCGCACACACCTCCACACCACGTACTTACCGTACATCTGGTGCAAACAACATCGATAGATAAAAGCTAGCCGAGAGCCGGAGCCCGCCACCCCTGCTCGGAGGGCGGACAGATAATTCTCATTTCTACACGGTAACTTAAAACTAACGTTCTAACATCGGCATCCTCATCATCATAATTATTAGTATCATCATCATCATTAATCAGTTCCCTATTTTATATAGCTGAAGTCCCTGAGTCTGATGAATCTGTAAAAGCCAATCCTGCTAACATCATCACGGAAAATGGAGCAATAACGATGTATTGTGTTTACTACTGTCTGACAGTATTTAAAGTGCGTCACTCCAAACATAAATTATCACATCTTAACTGTCAACACACATATAATAAACAATTGGGGATCTAGAGTACAGGGAAAAATAGAAAATGTAACAGTTTTCGAAATAAAAAATAATCCATGAAAATTATGACCAAAAGACAAACATATTTTACAGAAGTAGCAATCTTATATTGGACAGCCAGCGCATGTACTTTATGTATCGTCGAAAGTAAAACCTGAAATATGAGATTTCTTAGGTACAAGTTGAATTAACAGGCTATAGTTCAATAAGCGCATTGATGAATAGAATTAGTTTCAGTAGCGAAACTAAGCTAAATCCATGAATATTTATGAGCGGTTATTATCTATCCGGATTGCAAGAATAATTAAACACCTTTTAATGATCCCGTTTATTCAAACGTCCCATTTTTTGTAAACGTATACAAAATGTTTACACTAAAGGTTATAAGGAAAACGTGTTAAGCGTTCAGGTTACTCTGTTGGAACCTAACGTCAGTTAATACTAAATCTATGGTCGGAACGGTTTCATTTTGATGTTTTACATTTGGTTTTGTTGTTTTGTGTAAATTATCCGATTATAAGCCGATATCCTTTTATATATATATATATATATATATATATATATATATATATATATATATATATATATATATATATATATATATATATATATGTTGGTAAACATTTCCCAACAGAGATACAAAATCGGACTGCTGTGCTGGACAGAATCGTTACCTATAAAATCTTAAGGTCATTGTCTACATCCTTAGTAACAAGGCTTTCATTATACATATGGTTATTTTGCAGCAAAATTTGCAGAAAAGGTTCAGAATAAGTAATATAAGCAAATGGAGAAAAAAATAATAATCTAATCTCAATCATTTTGTCATTTTTATGTTTTAAATTCAAAATGCATTCACCATGCATTTTTTTAACTAATTTTACTGTGCACACACACATCTGTAAGGGTCGATCGGTGGGCAAAAACGTTGTTGCCCATAAATCGCATTCAATTTGGGATAATTTCAAATAAAATTAGAAGCCTTATTTACTCGTATTTTCTAAAACTGAAATATTTACGTATTTGAACCTAAAGTTTAAAATTTGGTTACTCTTTGAAAAATAACCGTGTATAAACACAAACATTCACATTGTTCAACAACTAGAATTCATAAAGGTAAAAGAGCTCTAGTATAATATCAGGCTGGGGCGAATTCTATCTTAGTAATCAGAGGTGACAACGCATCTGTCGTTTACTTTGTTTGAAGTTTTGACTGTAGATGCCTATGGACTGCAGTGGCCACTTAACACTATGTAAACGTAAGTCCACTGCTGAACATAGAACATATCCCCCAAGGAATGCCACAAAGTACGACCCTGAAGAACCTACATCCATCAACTTCCTGCATTTCTTACCAGGTCGTCGCCTCATCTAGTGGAGGGTCGCTATACATTTCGTTACCGCTACTAGGCTGCCGCTCGAGAACCTTTTCTCCCTATCGGTTATCGGTTCTTCGAGTTATATGGCCGGCACATTGCCACTTCAGCTTCACCTTTATGAATTCTAGCTGTTGAACAAAGTGAATGTTTGTGTTTATACACGGTTATTTTTCAAAGAGTAACCAAATTTTAAATTTTAAGTTCAAATACATAAATATTTCAGTTTTAGAAAATACGAGTAAATAAGGCTTCTAATTTTATTTGAAATTATCCCAAATTGAATGCGATTTATGGGCAATAACGTTTTTTCCTACCGATCGACCCTTACAAATGTGTGCGTGCGCAGTAAAATTAGTAAAAAAATGCATGGTGAATGCATTTTGAATTTAAAAAAAATGACAAAAAGATTGAGATTACGAGTATGTTATTATTTTTTTCTCCAGTTGCTTATATTACTTATTTTGAACCTTTTCTGCAAATTAAGCTAATCCGTTGGGCTATGTCGGTCACTCTGGTTTTACTGCGGATATCCTAATTTCTAATTTTATCACGCAGAAAAACCCCAAATATAACCCTCTCAATAGTTCGCTGAGCGACCCTGAGCTTCCTCACGGCCAGCAGTGAAGGACTACGTCTCAGATCCATAAGTCATAACTGGCAACACGCATTAGTTGTACAATCTTGTTTTCAAGTTTTGAGGTATATCTGATGAGAAGATGGTGACGTGATTTGCCGAACGCTGCGCAGCCGAGATAAATCCGTCGAATCTCTCGGTCAAAGTTGGATTTACCTAGTCGGAATATTTATCCTCGTTAACAACTTTGTGATTAGTGCTCCGAATAACTACTGGCATAGGCGTAACATGGAGTTACACATGATATTTATTTTGTCTATATTCATCTGAAGACCTATCCGTTAGGAGTTACTATTGAGATCATTGAGCATAGTGCTTAGGTCTTCCAGTGATTCTGCCATAAGATATATTTCGTTGGTAAATCTAAAATAAGTCTTGTACTCACCATTAATATTAATACCGTATCCTTTCCAGTCCTGTAGCTTGAAAACGCCTTCCTATGCAGTGGTGAAGAGTTTCAGGGATATAACGTCACCCTGTCTTACACCGCTCTAAAATTGGATGGGTTTCGTAGTCTGGTTCTGTATTCAGATGGCCATCGTGGCCCTACTGTACAAATACTTCAGCATATCGATATAACCACAGTCAACTTGGCACCTCTGATGGGACTGTAGCGTCGCCCATATTTCGACCGAATCAAAGGCTTTCTCATATTCCATATACGCAATGCAAAGTGGCAGATTGTACGTGTATGTATTAATGTAGCGAAGACGGTCTTCTGTACAATTTGCCGAAGAGTATGTATGTATGCGGTGTCTACGGTACTAAATAATTTTCAAAACCGGCTTATTCGGGAGGCTGGAAGTCGTCGAGTCTACGTGCAAGACGAAAACAGCACGTACACGCGGCTCAGAAGCGGAATCGGTTAGTAGTTCTCCAAGAGGGTGTTGTCGCCTTTCTTGAAGAATAAGACCACAGCACTTCTGCTCCACGCCTTGCTAGTAGTCCCACCATGGAGGACAGAGTAGAAGAGCTTCTAAAGGACATTAAGTACCGGTTTTCCACCTGCTTTCAGAAGCTCGGTTGTAGTTCCGTCCTTGCCTGGGGCTTTGCCGTTTTTAAGGAACTGGAGAGATACTTTAATTTTGGTCAGACTGACACGTCCCGGATATCATGGATATAGTGTCTGATAAGACTTGCTCTCGGAACGTTACTCACACATGCGTGTGGCTCCTACCTAGTACGATGACGTGTACAGCTGCCCATAGAACCTCTCAGTCTTACTCAAAATCACAGGTGTACGGGAAACAAAAGCGTCATTCTCGGTCTTCAGTTTCGACAGTTTACTCTTCCTGGCAGACAGATCTCTGGTAAAGAAGACTTTGGAGCCCTGGTTCCGCTCGATTGCTTCTTCAATACGAGTTGTATTGAAGTTGCGTGAGTCCTGTCGCATACATTTGGAGATCTGTGTGTTCAGCTTGTATGCTGTCAAATCCGCTGAAGACTGCAGCTTCATTTCCCATCTAACAGCCATGAGATTAAAAGTATCACCGTAGAGGCCCACAATGATCGTTACAAACTTTAAAATATTACGAAATTTTATTAAGAGACTATAATTTATGCATTACCATAAATAATTTCACGTGCTTTAATGAATTTTCTAAGTATTAGCTTCATTGAAACTGAATAAAGTTTTGGCTCCTCAGAGATTATCCAAGCTCGAGTTTGTCAATTCCCCGCCCACAAGTTATAATTGGAAAAGAAACATTAACTTCAATTAAGTTA